TATATATTTTTTGTTTATTTATATTTATATATATATATATATATATATATATATATATATATATATATATAAATCTCCAAGATGAAATTTCTGTTTTGGCGACTGGTGGGATGCACATCCACAATGCTGAGCACACAGGTCCTCACAATTATACAACAGAGCTTTCAAGTCTCTCAGCCCTTTGATTCCTCCGCTATCTCTGTCGTACCATCCAATTCTGACAGTAAACGATTCCTTTGCAAACACTGCAGCACATTCAACTGTTTCACATGCAAACCTCATGCACTCTCCTACATGCCAAAGTTAATGCAGTTGTGGAGCTGATCTCTTTGGGGCTGCTCCTGAAAAGAAAGTCAACCTTCTGTTTCTCAAAGAACCCAAACACTGCAGCTAAATGGATTCCTTCATGAATCCCAGAAAGTATTTGAAGGATGTGGTGCTATAAAAGTCTCCATCAGATGGGAGTCTTATTATGAGCAGATATTGGGTCCATACAGCAACACATTCATTACAACCTTTCCCTTCCAATCAAACCATCAGAAAAAGAAAGATATTTTTATTTGTACTCCATCTTAATTAAATCTGAGTAAACTCCATACCTGCAGAAGGTATGTTTATTTATTTGGTCTCTTGCATAATTAAAGCCAGCCTTCAATTATGTTGTGTGCTGCAGTCAATATTTTTGATTTGAGAGGGGGAAAAAATGGGAAAAAACTTAAATTAAATATATGCTGGCACAAATGTAAGGATATGTGAGCCTGAGGTCTTCGAAATTCGTCAATATAATACTTTATTAAACTGCGTGGGGAGATAATACTTATATGATTTATAAAGAAAATATAATTGTGTGTAAATTTAGCACATCAATGCGAGTAGAAAAACAGAAACAGAACATCTATATCAGTTGAGCCAAATAAACACCTATAGTATTAAACCTGTCTGTGTCCTGAAAGTACTTCTTAAATTCGCTTCCTTAATTAATCAAAATACGCACCAGCCTGTGTCCCATTATGCGCAGAACTTGCCAGAAATTAACTTACCCGGCTTCTGAAGCAGAAATGAAATGACCGAGGAAAACCATCCGGAGCGAAAAGCACATTAGATTCCACATTAATGTTCATTCACAGCTTCCCGACGTTCACGCCGACACCCAGTTAGTGAGCCGACAGAGGAGCGCGCTCAGGCGAGAGCGAGCCTCTTGGCCACAGACAGCGGAGAGAGGTGCGTCAGTGGAGAGGAGGTGTGAAGACAATATATTAGCAACAGCAACAAAGTATAATAATAATAATAATAATAATAATAATAATAATAATAATAATAAACTGGAACATTTATTGTCAGATATATAAATACCCGTACCTAATTTTGCTCTGTGTCTATAGTGTATATTCTATGTAATGCATGGCCGGCCCAAGGCATAAATGCACTAGGTTGCTGCTTAAAAAGACCCTAATCCAACCGGTGGCCTCCAAGTCCACCAGAATTCTCACACAATCAGGTTTACCAGTTGATTCTTTTTGTTTTATTTTCATATAACATAAATCAACCATAATTATGCTAAACAACATGTGTACTCCTTGATTTTTGTCATTTTAATGTTGACCGCAGAAGTCAGGCTTTTCCTGAGTAAAACCAAGAGCTAACCTTTTAGAAGCCTTCCTATAAAACTAGCAAATCACAGTTCAATGCATTCACCATAAGTAAGAACAAGCTTTTTAAAACTATGTCAACATCAGGGAAACTGCATGCCTTTCCCTTAAAATATTTGGATTATACATAAATTGTTGAAGTAAAATCGTCTGGACTCCAGAAACCAAAACTGAAATACAAAACAAGTACTAAGCATCCTGATACCTTTTAAACATGCACATGTCTGCGTGTATACTTTCCCTCATACAGTATAAATAACTGCAGTTTTTCACATTTTTCAAGGCTCCAACAAAACTTTATGAAATGTAAATAAAATGCTTTCAGTGTTTACAAATTAAAAGGGAGAAAGTGTTAAATGCATCTGGATTCAGTCCCTTTGAGTCAGTTCTATGCAGAATTGTTGTTGCAGTTACAATTGGAAGTCCTTTGAATTTAGGCCTCCATTAGCTTTTGCACATCTTCAAACTTAGTCTATATAATTTTGCAAAGAACACATTCTGGAGCTCTAGTGGCCTTTATGAAAAAAAGTGAACAGAGAGGAAATGGGCAGTCGGAGCAGTGAAGGTCCCAAGGTTGGGAACCATCCCTGGTCGAATCGTGCTGCTGCTAGATCCCGCACTGCCCTGCCCCACCAGTCTTAGTTTTATTTCATCGGACAATGTGGTGTATTTTATCAGTGGTAGTTTTCAAAGTGTTGGTGATGCTTCAGGAACAAAAGCTCTGCTGGCTGAACTTCAGTTGAACAGTAAAGATTTTGTTACAGACTGCAGCCAAAGTCAGCACAACCGAATCATGAGGAAATCATAGTCAGATCATAGAGGATTCCCTGCTGTTATCTGGACAGCATTGCTTTTATTGGGCGCAGGACGATACATATACAAAACCATATCTGGGTTTTCTCCAACATATTAATTCGACAGAACAATGATTAAGTTAACCTTTGCCCATCTTCTCATGCACTGGAATCCATTTGTTCAGACTCAGGGTCTCCATTCTTTGTCCAGAATATCTTCCTTGCACACCCAAAAGTCTTCTTGTGTGGTCAAGCACTACAACAGAAACATTTCTTATTAAACCAAATTGTGACTTGTTAGTCACAGACTAGTCTTAACTGTGTGAAGATTCACACTACCATTTGAGCTGCGAACATAAGAGATCTATTAATGAAAGTAAGATGATGTGTGAATTTATGGCAGCAGTATGTCCATTCTGGTTACATTTATAAATTCACAGCATATCACAGAAAAACAAAAAAAAACAAAAACATTCACTTATTTTACAAAGAAAGTGTAACATCTTTTTTAGTGCTGTACTTAGGTGACTGGCAACAGAAAAGCCTTTACGAAAAAGCAATAAGGGCTACTTTATGGGTCTGAATTCAAGTCCTAATTAGGAAACTGGAAAACACTGATTAGACAATGAGCTAGTGTGTGATTCGGAGGTGTTGTGTTACATTCTCTATCATTTTCTCAACTCACCTCCCTCTGAGCGCTGTAACACTGCTATTTATTAAGCTGGATGTTATGTAAATTTGTTCTCCCTGTGTTTCCTACATAAAGTCACTGACTGATGTCAAAATTCCCCCTATTGACTGCTGGATGTAGATGAGTTATAGTTACGCTGTGAAGATGTACAGCAATTCAGACAGTTAGTTGTGATGTGTGGGCAGTCGTGGGCTGAAACTTTATTTCGCTTGTTTTGATTAGAATAACACGAGTCTGAGAATGAAATTAAAGTGCATAACAAGCTGGCCCTTTTTATCTGTAGTGTGGTCACTTGTTTGGCTGCAATGTTGAAGAAGCGTCACAACTGCAGCCCACAAATCCAAGTTAGACGAGCCAGAGGAGTTATATATGAGTTTGTTGCCAGCATAAAGTTTGCTGCAGATGAGGCAACACTTTCAAATGACGCACAGAACTATATTTGCAAGGTGGAAAACAATGTTTAAGATGTGACTGAAAAGAAATATTGGGTTATGCAGAAAGTGTGTCACTGAATTTGCTGGAAGCAGATGGGTCTGGTTTATATAGACTCACCGTGGGTAGGGATGTCATTAGCTGTGGTTAGTTTTGAATCTTTAAAGGTGCATTTGAAGAGTTTCAACAACAAATTCATTGACTTTAAAAACCAAAAATAGGTGCATATGTTTACATTTAGTGAAGGGTTGAGTTTGGTTTTTAAATCTTCACATGCTCAAAATTAAACGTGCCCAAAAATATATGCACTGCATTGATATGTCCATTAGCAAGTTGCAGAAAAAACTATTCACTTTTTGTAGACAGCAAGCTTATCATTTTTATTATTAGGGCTCAGTTAGGGTCACAGTGTTTAATAGAGTTAAAGCCAAGGGCTTTCCAGAGTGTCATGATTTCCATTCTAAATATTACTTCTGATCCATGTCTGGGATCATTTTCTTATAAATCCCTTTTGTGTCAAGTTTTGTTGGTTTAAACTCTCATCTTGACTAAATATTTGTGAGGTATTTGAGCATAAATGTGAAGCTTTCACCATATTAACTAGAAAAAATGTGCAAAAACTCAAACTTTACAACCAGCTTGCCTTTATATGTGCCACCTATGAATTACCTGTGGCTTAGCAATATGCACTTGCATCTTGAGACGCCGCATTTAATGATCAAAAATATTTGTTTAACAGAAGTTAAAATGTGTTGTGTCACATTATGAATATCCAGGTCTTATCAAAAAACCTTGAAGGTGGTGGTATTTTGAAAACTTGCCATTTCTGGTACTTCCAAAAAATGACAGAAACACAGTGATGCATTTTGCAAAGACTGCATGCTGTGGATCCCCATAATATAATTTAATAATCCATGTTTATGCAACACTACAGGAGTCTCATGTTACAACACAATTCCTTACAAAGGGCAAGAATAAATGGCAAAAAGAAAAAATATATATATACTACAAGGAGCACTGAGGTTTTCGGATTCATGACAAGACTGCAGTCTGCATGTTGAGTGATTAAACCAAGTTGCCAGACTGCAAGATTATAGGCTTTAAGTAAAAGCTTTAAGACCAGTAAATGCATCAAGTTGCATGTGGTAGCAGCTAAACATAGTGAGGCTGGCATTTATTAACTCTCATATTGAGTTGTAGGCAATCTAGACTCTCGGGTGTTAGTGAAATTGCCTATATCTCATAAGCAGAAAGAAAACATTTTGATTTGGGGCCTCAGGAGTTTATTAAATTTTTAGTGTCTTCAGGCTTTAGTCTTTTACATTCTGGCTCATAGTGCTTCCAAGAAAAAAAAAAAAGCTGTGGCTTGTGGAACAATGAAAACACACTTTGTAAATAACTGTCTCTCAGTTGATACCTATTGCTGTTGGGCTCCTGCTTCTGAAATTAAGTCTCTTGTTTAACATCTATGGCAAGGCTTTGCCATCTGCAGCATGCAAGGCAGCAGTAGTAGATGAGTCATGCAGAAAAAAAACAGAAAAAAAAATACATAAATGTACCACAAACTTTATATTATTGGTCACCTGCAGGAGAAAAAAAAAATTAGACTCGACCCAGGGAGTTCCAAAGTTTTCTTATTTTCCAGATATACAAGATTGTTAGACAGAATCACATTAGGAGTTTCTGAAGTCTTCCATCAGCTCTTTGGCTTTTGGTGATGTTTGGCTGCAAAGGACTCACACTGGTCCACAAAATTCACCTCTTTCCTCTTATACTCTGACACATCCACCCACCTGCAAAGCCATTGGATAACCTTTGTAGGTGGCAGCTGTATCTTTTCACACGCAATGCTTAAAGCGTAGTCAACTATCAGAACCTCTTCAGGTCCAACAGAGAAGCTGTATTCATATGCAAAGTGAGATTGAAGATATACCATAGTATGAAAAACCTGCTACTGGGGTGATATAAGCACCATTCATATGAAACCATTGGGATTAGCATCCATGCTGGGTGGAGTGTACTCTACTGTCTTCCTCACCCTTGTTTCTAAGAGGTTGTTATTGCTGGGTGTTTGCAGATCAGTCTGAATGTGCATGCTAATATGAAAAAATACACAAGAAGAAACGGTTCTGCTCTGTCAGTCTAACCACCATGAGACAGCTTGTTACCAGTGAACATGCCCCTGCAGACATCACTGACTCTTCTGCAGCTGCCTCGGCTCCCTCTCAGCCGTGCAGGTCTTTTTACTCCATTTTAAACTCACCAACATGGATTTCTTGTCTATTTGTCACCTCACTTGTTTATCCTGTTCCTCTCAGTTAGAAGAGAAAAGGATGACGTCATTAAAAACTCATTAAACCTGACTGGAAAACCTCCATATTGTTGTATTCGTCTGAAAGGGACTTAACCAGAGAAATGGCAATTTCTCTAAAATCTTTAGAAATGTAAGGGAGTTTATGAAAAAAAAAATAAAATAAATGCTGAAGCAGGGACAATACCTGACAGCAAACTGCTGTTTACAACAGCGAACATCAATTGCCCTATGCTTGGGAAAGCCTCCTTAAAGAGGTGAGGCGGAGCAGGATCATACGGAGAACTCTATGGCTTTATATGTTCAGCTATATCCTTTAAAATTGCTAGATTCACTTGTTTGAATTGATCGAACACAACTGGACAGAGGATCGAACAC